AAAAAAAAAAAAAAAAAAAAAAATTATTTTATTATAGTGAGACATCCATGAAGTGACCCATTGGGATTTGATCTCGAAGTGGGTGGGTGTCTCGAAGTGCAGGGCGCTGCACCATCTGGTACAATGCCTGCCTTGAGGCAATGGGTAGGAAAGAGAGTGGGCCTCGCAGGCAACCACACAAGGATGTGGACCAGCTCCTGGCCACGGAAGGACTGCGAGTGAGGCCCGGAAGGGAGGAGGCAGATGGTTCGTGCCCTGAGCAGCATCTATCCATTTGCCCTGCCTGCCAGCACAGGGGAATGGTCCAGACTCTGGGGGCTGCAGAAAACAGCAAGGCCCAGAGGCCAGAGGCTGCAGGTGGGCCTGAGGATGAACTTCCATCAAGAAAGAGGCTCTGGAAGAGAATGAGTGTCCCAGCATGTAGTGAGCACTCACTAGGGTATACAAGCAGGGATGGACACTGGGAAGGGCATTTCTACATCCATGGTGAGTTCCCTTCAGCTAAGAGAGTCTGTGACTCTCTGTTGAGGGACTGTGGGGGGTGCCATCAGAGTCCAGGGCAGGTGAGGGCCTCCCTGGGTGCAGCTGCTAGCAGTCATAGGACAGCAAACACCATTCATTGGATTCTGACTTAGGGAGGTACCCTGCCAAGTGCCTTAAAGGTGTCATCTCAGTTACTCTTTACAGTACATTAAAAAAATAGTTGACAGGCCGGGCGAGGTGGCTCATGCCTGTAATCCCTGCACTTTAGGAGGCTGAGAGACGGGCAGATCACCTGAGGTCAGGAGTTCCAGACTAGCCTGACCAACATAGAGAAATCCCGCCTCTACTGAAAATATGAAATTAGCCGGGTGTGGTGAGCATGCCTGTGATCCCAGCTACTTGGGAGGCTGAGGCAGGAGAATCACCTGAACCCGGGAGGTGGAGGTTGTGGTGAACCAAGATCGCGCCATTGTGCTCCAGCCTGGGCAACAAGAGCAAAACTCTCTCTCTCAAAAAAAAATACTAGTTGACAGGCCGGGCACAGTGGCTCATGTCTGTAATACCTGTACTTTGCGAGGCAAAGGCTGGTGGATCACCTGAGGTCAGGAGCTTGAGACCAGCCTGGCCAACATGATGAAACCCCATCTCTACTAAATATACAAAAATTAGCTGGGTGTGGTAGTGGGTGTCTTTAATCCCAACTACTCAGGAGGTTGAGGCAGGAAAATCGCGTGAACCCAGGAGGCAGAGGTTGCAATGAGCCGAGATTGCACCACCGCAGTCCAGTCTGGGCAACAAGAATGAGACTCTGTCTCAAAAAAAAAAATAGTTGACAATATGGCGTGTACTGTGTGCCACGTCCTGGAGTTCAGCAGGACCTGTAGTGCCGTTATCCCCATTTGCAGATAAAGAAACTTAGGCACAAAAAGCATAGGTGACCCGGGATGACACAGCTAGTAAGTGGGGGAGGGGAAGTTTGAAGCCATTGTCCCAGGCTGCAGAGCTGGGATCCCAGCCTCTTATCTGCTGCCCATAGGGGTCAGGGCTGGGTACCCTCTGCACCTATTGCTGTTGGCCAGGTAAAGAGCACCTTTGGGTGCTTCCCAAGCCACCTCCTGTGGCTCCCCCTGACTCCTGGGGTAGGCAGCAGGGCCTGGTCCCCTGGACTGAGTGGAGCGTGGGTGCCCTGGTCCCTTCGCCCAAGCAGGCCCAGCTGCGGCAGTGACAGATCCAAGCCACGGAAGATGCTGGCCCAGAAAAGGCAAACACTCCCGCAGAGCCCCTAATTACGGGGCCAATGAGCGCAGCCGCCAAGCTGTTACCTGGTGCCAGGCCTGCCTCTCTCTCCCAGGGGGCCTGTGACACTTCTTAGGCAGGGAGGGGGCACGGGGCAAGGAGGCGCAGGCCTGGGCAGGAGGCAGCGGAACAAGCAGGCTTGTCGGCAGCTGGGGCAGCATGGGCAATGTAAGCAGGACCCCCACCCCAGCCCCCTCTCCACTGGGAGACGGCAGGCCTATGGTCAGATGCACAGACTGGGTGGGGTGGGGGTAATGGCAGCCTGCCCATCCCTGCTCAGCTGACCATCCAGGCCCCACACTTCCCCTAAGGGCTCCATCAGGAGACAGGCCGGGCTGGTGTTAGGAATCTGCCCCAGGTCCCAGGTTGGGCCAGGAGAGCCGGCTTGGTAGCCAGGTAACTGGAGGTGGGCCTGTGCTGTGCCCCTCCCCACAGAACCACTGGAGCCAAGGCCCTCTGCCGATCTGCCGATCGTGAGACAGAAGGCCAATCTCCTGGCAGTTCTTCCCTTGGGGTGCAGCCCAAGGCCCCCTCCTCATCAATTTCTCCACCCTCCTAACCAGGGAGGAGCCAGCAGAGGGAGTTTCCCAGGAACCTGGTCCTGCTGCCTGGCGGGGCTGGGCTCAAATCTTAACATGGAGGAAGCTGAGACCCTCTAGTGATGGGGAAGGGACGTGTGATGGGGAAGGGGCCCTGGAGAGCGGCGTGGCTTGGCCAAGATCCCACAGCAAAGGCATGGCTGAGTGTGACCTTAGCCTGGAGGGCGACCTGTCTTGGGGTGCACTGGCCCTCATGGCCTCCCTGCCTCCCCTTCAGAGCGTGGAGCACCGTGTGCTGTCCCGGGATCCCTCTGCTGAGCTGGAGGCAAAGCAGCTGGACTCCGGCATGTCCTCACCCAACACCACCGTGTCGGTCCAGCCGCTGAACTTTGACCTCGGCTCACCCGCCAGCACCCTCTCCAACTACGACTCCTGCTCCTCCAGCCATTCCAGCATCCAAGGCCAGCGCCCTCCTCGCAGTGAGTGTGCCCTGGAGGTAGAGGGGGACGGAGGGGAGATGGAAGCCAGACTACTGGGCTGTGAGAGCTGGCCTTGGGCCGCCTGCCACAGCCAATATCAGAGTTTACCCACATTGCCTGCTCTTAAACGTGGGGAGGAGACCCCTTCTGGTGAGAGACAGATGTCACTCATGCTTGTGTGTGCTTATCACAAATATACATGTACATCCACACGTACTCTCCCCACCGACAAAATCCACATGTCCCACCCACCATTCACTATTTTCAGCTACTCACATACAAAAGTGCACACTTGTACATACAACATACAGATACGAACATACACAAAGAGCCATGCAAATATCTGCACATACCCACCTTACGCACAAGCACACGATGCTCTATTTCCATACTCCAGATGTGCACACTCCAGATGTGCACACACACACAACCGTGTCCACAGAGCAATGCACACACATTCAAATGTCCAGACACACAATCACCTAGGCAGAAGGCGGGCGAGTGTGGATACGCCCTGACCACGCCCTGAGCATGGGCGTCCGTCCACTTGCAGTGCCTGCTTCATGCCGCCAGATAATGGCCTGCAGAGCCGGCGGGGGTGCCCTGCAAAGATTGGGTGTGGCAGTCATATTCCCAAGGAGCCCACCGACCCTTCCAGGTGGCCCTGACCTCTAGACACACCCAAAGCCCCCAGTGCTTCCCTTCCAAACCGGAGCACCTGGTTTTCCAAGTAAGTGCTGGGCTGGGGCAGGGCAGGGCCAGGGAGAGGAAACCCAGCACTGCCAGGGGCCACAGCAGGTATACCAAGTGGAGCCCGCCATGTCCCTTGGCAAGTTGTTTCCAGGTGCCAGACTCTCCATCTTGGGGGACAGTTTGGCTGCATGCTCCCAAATCTGGCCCTTCCTCCTGCCTCCCCAGGGCTTTCCAGCACCAGAGCTGCAGACATACAGAGCTACATGGACATGCTGAACCCGGAGCTGGGTCTGCCTCGGGGCACAACTGGCAAACCCACACCCCCACCACCCCCACCCAGCTTCCCCCCGCCACCCCTGCCCCCAGGCACCCAACTGCCTCCACCCCCACCTGGCTACCCAGCTCCCAAGCCTCCTGTGGGACCACAGGCAGCTGACATCTACATGCAGACCAAGAACAAACTCCGCCACGTGGAGACAGAGGCCCTCAAGAAGGAGGTAGTGAGCCCTCACCCCCTTCCTGCCTCCCAGCAGGGGGACTGGGCTGATGGGGGCCGCTGAGGCCAAAGGCCTGGCCTCATAGTGGGCATAGGGTGGGGATCCCTGTGTCCATGGCATGTTCAAGAGTCAAAGCTCCTGGCAATTCCAACTGGGGATCAGGGCTGGACACTGGACCAGGAGGAGAGTAAGACCAGGTCGCTGCCCTCAATGGGAGCTGGGAAGTGAAGGTCCAGACAGCTGTGCCTCACCAGGAACTGGGCCTGTGCCACCTCTTGCACAGAGTGGCCGGGTTGTCATGGAGTTGACAGAGAATGCATATAGACTGCCCCTCCCCAAACACGCACATTCCCACAGCCCCAGGCCCTGTTGGAGAGTGGTACCCAAGGGAGGTGGTTGCCAGGTGGAAGGTGCCAGTGGCATGGCTGTGAAGGGGAGGGCTGGGAGAAGGGTGGAGGGAAGGTGAGCGGGCACTAGCAGGGTCGGGCGCCCAGTGGCTGTGGGGGCTGGGAAGGAGGGGAAGCTGCAGCTGGTTCCAGTTTAGGGCTTGGGCTCTGTGCAGAGAGGATCAGGCCTCAGGTGGGCACCCTGGAGGGAAGCGAGCCTGTGTGGAGGGGATGAGGCCAGGGTGGGCAGGTGGAATGTGAGACGCCTAGTGACATCTGGGCCTGCAGGCCCCTGGCTGAGGCTCTGGAGCAGGGCTGGGGGCAAAGGTCTGGTCTCAGCAATTCTGGAAGTCCTGGGCAGGGAGACCTGGGAAATTCTGGCGTTCTGGGCACAGGAACATGGCAAGGCTGGTCTGAGAGGTGAGGGGACAGCCTGAGGTTGCAGCTGGCTAGATGTGGTGTGACAGCCCCCTGGGGTCCTTCTGGAGCTTGGGACCTTGCAGTTCTCTTAAGCCCAAGGCAAGCCACGCCAGGGCCAGTTTATACGAGGTGACCCAGGTCACAAGGCCACTGGGCAAGGGAGACACGGGAGGGACACTGAACTCCAGGGCAGCTCTAGCGGCCACCCTCTTTATGCCACCTTAGATCCAGCTTCCACAGTGGCTTCCCCTTTCATCTCTGGGAGGCAGAGAGGGCCGGGCAGGTAGGGCTGCGAGTGCCCTGGAATCCCTGAGCTCCCAGCCCAGCCTGTGGGCCCCGCCCAAAGCCAGGGGACAGGTGGCCCAGCCAGTGCCCCCTCTCCACCGCTGAGCCCAAGTGCCGGGTCTGTGTGCGCCCCTCCTGGCTGTGTGCGCCCCTCCTGGCTGTGTGCGTGCTGGGCCGCAGGCGCCAGGGCCCGGCCGGGACGCTCCACAAAGGGCTCTTTGTGTGACCGCGGCGCCCTCGGCGCGGGTGCCTGACCGCGGGCGGGAGCAGGGTCGTGGCGTCCGAGCCTCCGGGCCGCAGGGGGCGCGGAGCGGGCGGGCTGGCCCAGAAAACAAATCCCGCGGTGTCGCGTTTCCTGCAACGTGAGCCAGGTCGGGCGGGGTGGAGGGTCTGAGGCCACCGCCGGGACGCATGGGCTGGAGGGTGGGGCAGGGGACAGCCCCCACCAGGTCATTCCGTCTTGGGCTGGGCCGCCTCACTTTCGCAGAGCTGAGCATAGTGGGGGGCAGCTGCGACAGGGCGGGAAGCCTCGCTGTCACCTGACCCCGCCTTGCGGCCCCTGAAACCTGAGGCTTGATCGCGGGTGTCGGTGTCGCTTTCGTGGATGGCGATGGTTTCCAGATGCAGGAGGGGAAGGGTGGGGACCCGACCCGGAGCCCCCTCTGCCCACAGTCAGCCCTTTCCTGTCTTGGGCAGGAATGAAGGTGGGGACTCAGCTCCCAGGTTAGGGAGAGGCGCAGGGGGCGGGGCCACATCTGGGCGGGGGCGGGCGCGGAGAGGCGGCCAGGTGTGGCAGAGTAGTTGGCGCCCCCGTAGCATCCGCGACGGCTGGGGGGGTTCGGCCTGGGATTGGCGGGCCCCGGGTGATGTCAGGCCGTCCGAGCCCATAGGCTGGCCGGGCGCGGGCGGCGCGGGCCGGCTGTAACCTGAGAGGAAGGATCAGGTAACGCAGGTGTCGGGTCCTGCCGCCCCCACCGCCAGGTGCACAGCGGGGGCCACCAGCACCGTGGCAGGTAGGAGCAGCCCCCGACGGGCACCTGGGGTCCGGGGCAAGCCGGAGCCTCGGAGGGCACAGGCTCTGTAGGGGGCTCCCGCCGAGCCGGGATCCCCGACAGACCCGCAGTCCGTCTGGCAGCCGAGAGCGGGGTGTGGGCAAGGCACTAATGCTGGCTAAGCTGAGAGGTGCCCCTTCTCCAGCTCCCCCTGGCGTCGGGGCTGAGCCACCCGCCCTTGGTCCCGCCCCTTCTGGCCTCTGTGGGGGCCCCTGTGCCCCTTGGCCGGCTCCCAGAGCCTCTCTCTGTAAGGCGGGCGGAGCCTGCCCTTCCATCGAGGCCCCCGTGACCCTCGCCCTGTGCCCGCCCTGAGAACAGGGGGTCTAGGAAGGCAGCCCCCGCACCCCTTGAAGGCCGCTGGCCGCGAGTCCCTGGGAGGTGAAAAGCTGGGTGGGGAGGCGTGGGGGGCGCCTGCTGGGCAGGTGCCCGAAGCCCACCGGCCACTGTCTTCCCGCAGCCGAGCTCCTGCGACGGCCACGACGGGCTGCGGAGGCAGGACTCCAGCCGTAAGCCCCGCGCTTTCAGCAAGCAGCCCAGCACAGGGGACTACTACCGGCAGCTGGGCCCCGGCCCCGGGGAGACGCTGGCCGCACGCCCGGGCATGGCGCACAGCGAGGAGGTGCGTGCCCGCCAGCCCGCACCCGCCGGCTGCCGGCGCCCCGGCCCTGCCGCCCGCGGCTCACTCGAAGGCCCCTCGGCTACCCCGCAGGCGGCGTTGCTCCCCGGGAACCACGTTCCTAATGGCTGCGCCGCGGACCCTAAGGCGTCCAGGGAGCTACCGCCGCCGCCCCCGCCGCCGCCGCCCCTGCCCGAGGCCGCGAGTTCACAGCCGCCCGCCCCACCTCTGCCCCTCGAGGGCGCTGGCCCTGGCTGCGGGCAGCGCCGCTCCTCCTCGTCCACCGGCAGTGAGTAGGGGCGGGTTGAGGGGTGGGGGGAGGCGCTAGCCCTGAAAGGGTAGGGAAATCTAGACACCGCCCCCTCCCCAGCTGCCACCGCCCCGTCCTTCCCCGTCCTTCTTCTTCTTGCTCTTCCTGCCAGCCCCTACCCCATTGAGTACTTGACCCTAAAGGGAGGGCTCTGGGTTGTTTGAAGTCCTGCCAGAGCAGGATGGGCTGTGTGGCCTGGGGCAGGTCCCCTGCCGCCTCTTGGCCTGCCTCCTGCCAGCTAGAAAGGGCCCCCCAGCCCTGGCGGCTGGCATTTGGGTTGAGCTGGTGCTGGAGGGACACTTGAAGTAGAACCAGATTCAGAGAGGCCCCGCGCTGGCCGCCCATCCCCTGGCCGGTCGGTGCTGAGCCTCTCTTCCTTTCTCCACCTCTTTCTCTTGTCCTTCCAAGTAGCACAGACCTGAGCCCTTCTTAGATATGCCAAGAACTCATCCTAGCCAGTTCCTGCCAGGGTCCCTGGGCCAGCAAGGGCCTGGCTATGGGGGCAAAGCTAGTGACCCTCCATATTTCCCCTCCCTCCCCAGTAACTTCCCTAGGCATCGTTTTTTCTCGAACTCCTGACCTCAAGGTGATCTGCCTACCTGGGCCTCCCAAAGTGCTGGGATTACAGGTGTGAGCCACCGCACCCAGCCCCAGGCATCCTTTTTTTAAGAGCTAGACTGGTGCAGGATTCCAGGGCTGCTTCTCTGTAGGGTGGAACAGTGTCCCTCTGCCAGGCCACCTAGAAGGCCCAGAACAGGGTGGCTGGGTGTGATGCTCCCATCCCAGCTTGGCTGGGGTGCCTTCCTCACCCAGCCACTCGGGGCAGAGATCATGCTTAGTGGCACCCCCCAAAGCTTCATCTCCCTGACTAGGCATGCAGAGCAGAGCCGGGCCCCCCAGGGTTCCTGTGGAGTCCCAGCCCCTGCAGACTGGAGCGCATGGAGGCGTGCCCAGCACCTGCCTAGCCCCCTCCTCCTTCCCTCCACAGCCTGCAGCAGGGCTGAAGCTAAAGACAGAGAAACATATACTCTGAGCTTCCCCCAGACACCCCCACCCAGCACAGCCCGGGCTGGGTGCCCTATCCCAACCCAGTGCCAAGGTGGAGGCCCTTGCTAGGGACTAGGGCCAGTGGTGGCCCTGCCAGCCCTCAGCAGCACCCGCCAAGCTGGGAACTCGATGGACCACCCTCGTGGGGCCCCAGAGCAGCCTAAGCCAGGGTCAGATGGGCAGAAAAGCTCCTCCTCTCTTCTCCGCTTCCCCCCTCCTGCTTTCCCTGGCCCGCTCCCTGTCCCCTGCTGTCCCAGTCTCATCCTGGCCCCCTCTCCCTCCTAACTCCGCTGTCACTTCTCTCCTCTCCGTTCCTAGAAGTGAGAGTCCTGAGGCACAGGAAGAGTGAGTAGCTGCGCGGCTCCTGGCGGAGGCTGTGGTGTGGGATGGGGGAAGAGCAGGAAAAGCAAGCAGGAGGGGCCCAGACTCAAGGAAAGGGCAGGGGCGGGGGCCAGCAGGCCAGAGAGCCTCGAGACACAGGTGGGGCCTGGCACCTCCTACCTATGCTCATGCCCACATATGCACCCAAGCATTCTACGCCTGGCTGATGGTTTTGCCTAAATAAATGAGCCCGCCACACCGATTTTCCCTTCCTCCTCTTCTCCTCCCTGTGACTACACTCTGGGATCCCCAGCCTGGGAATCCAAGAGCTGTCAGCCCATTTTGTTCCTCCCTCCCAGACCTGACCCCTTCCTGGGAGCTCAAGAGACCTCTCTCTCCAAATCACTATTCAGCTTTTCCACCTGAGCCAGAAAATGCAAACTCTGCCCTGGGGATTTGCATGTTACCCACCTGCCCTTCTTCCTGGGTGCCTCCCGTAGCTTTCGTAAGGGCTCTGCTTTCCTGGGCCTCTAGAGCTGAGCTGCGCTTTGTCATAAATGTGCTCCTGGCTTGCAGCCAATGTGTCTGCTTGTGCGTCTGTCTGTGGGTGTGGGAGAGAGAGAGGGGACCAGCTGGGTACTGGCACTCCAGGGTCCAGACTCTGTATTTCCTTGGAGGCCCCAGTTGACTTAGTTCAAGGGTCACTGAGGCTTTGCTGATGTAGGGACAGGGTCAGAGGGAGGCTCCACCCCAGCTGGGCTGAGCCAGGGAACCTGGGACAAAGGTCGGGTGGCTGACTCCAGGTAGTGTTTTAGAGCTGAACAGTCAGTGTCTGGGCGGAGACATATGCTAGAGTCGGCAGGGCCAGCCCAGGAGCCACCATGAATTCCCAGGGGCCTCCAGGCGGGGGCCCTCCACCCCGTGAGTAAGATGGGGAGGACCATGGGATTGCCACAGCTGGGGAACCAAGGGCCTGGCTCTGCGGGCCCCGAAAGCTGCCTGCGGGACCTGGGATCTGGAGAGCTGCCTGCTGGGCCTAAGGATGGGCACCCAGCCTATCCTGGCTTGGAAAGGGGGCTGCAGAGGGGCAGGTGAGGAGTGGTGGGGGTGCAGCCCCGCCCTGGCCAGTCCTCATCTCCTGCCTCCACATAGGCACCAAGTCTTTCAACATGATGTCCCCGACGGGCGACAACTCGGAGCTACTGGCTGAGATTAAGGCAGGCAAGAGCCTGAAGCCGACGCCGCAGAGCAAGGGGCTGACCACAGTGTTCTCAGGCAGCGGGCAGCCGGCCTCCCAGGTAGGCAGGCCCGGCAGGAGCCTGCAACCCAGGTCCCCTGGCCCCAGGCCACTGGGCGCTCAGCCCCACCGCTTCTCCCTGCAGCCCGACTCGACACTGCCGCCTGTGTCACCTACGCCGTCACCAGCCCGGAGCCCCACACCGCCAGCTGCAGGTTTTCAGCCGCTGCTCAATGGAAGCTTGGTTCCGGTGCCACCCGCTACCCCCGCACCCGGTGTGCAGCTGGACGTGGAGGCGCTCATCCCTACCCACGATGAGCAGGGCCGGCCCATCCCCGAGTGGAAGCGCCAGGTGATGGTGCGCAAGCTGCAGCTGAAGATGCAGGAGGAAGAGGAGCAGAGGCGGAAGGTGGGTGGGGCGGGCCCAGGGAGCCCTGGGGTCTGCATTCGGATACACAGCCCATCCCCCATGCCACCTCCAACTTGGGACCTCCCATTTTTTTTCTTTTTTCTTTTTCTTTTTATTTTTTTGAATTGGAGTCTCACTCTATCACCCAGAGTGGAGTGCAGTGGTATGATCTTAGTTCACTGCAACCTCTGCCTCCTGGGTTCAAGAGATTCTCCTGCCTCAGCCTCCTGGATAGCTGGGATTACAGACACATGCCACCACACCCAGCTAATTTTTTAATATTTTTAGTAGAGATGGGGCTTCACCATGTTGGCCAGGCTGGTCTTAAACTCCTGACCTCAGGTGATGCCCCCGCCTTAACCTCCCAAAGTGCTGGGATTACAGGTGTGATCCACCGAGCCCGGCCACTTTGGGGAAAGCAGGTGACAGGACCCCTATTCGGGGCTTGTTCCAGTCTCCACATGCACCCCCAGCAGCCTGTCCTTGGAAGTGAGACGGCAGCCTTTCTCAGACTCTCCTTCCCCTGCCCAGCCCCTGGGAGCTGGTTAAAAGGCCTTTTCGGATTCCGGAGGCCTGGGGCGGGGCTGAGGCTCTGCATTTCTAGCCAGCTCCTGGGTAAGATTGCTGATGACGCTGGTCCAGGGACCACACTGAATAGCCAAGAGGGCTTTGGTCTCCGTCTTAGGGACCTGGGCTCTATTGCTGCGCTGCTGCCTTCCAGCTGCCAACACTGAGCTTCATCCAGCCTGTTTCCTTCTCTGTAAAGTGGGCTGATCAGCACCAGCCGGCAGGATGAGTTGTCTTTTATTCATTCTACAACTGTTCTGACAGTGCCATTCTTTTTATTTTTGGTTTTGTTTTCTTTTTTTTTTGTTGTTGTTGTTGTTGTTTTTGAGACAGGGTCTCACTCTGTCAATGAGGCTGGAGTACAGTGGTGGGATCTCTGCTTACTGAAACCTCTGCCGCCCAGGTTTAAGCGATTCTCCCACCTCAGCCTCCTGACTAGCTGGGACTACAGGTGCATGCCGTCATGCCCAGCTAATTTTTATATTTGTAGTAGAGATGGGGTTTCTCCATGTTGGCCAGGCTCGTCTCGAACTCCGGACCTCAAGTGATCCACCTGCCTTGGCCTCCCAAAGTGCTGGAATCACAGGCATGAGCCACCACGCCTGGCTCCCAAGTGCCATTTATGTGTCCCACACACTGTTGTAGCCTCTGGGGATTCATGGTGAACATATCAAGGCCTGCTCTAAGGTGGCTGCGGACATGTGTGCAAGTCACCAAGAACTCAAAATGGGGCAGTGTGGGAGAGTGGGTGGTGGTGAAGAGAAGTGCCTGGGCTGGTGCCACACAGCCAGCTGCAATAATGGGGAATGCAGGGCACTGGGGCAGCCCTAACCAGCCACCTGATACGTGGGCTGGGGGCCGTGTTAGAGAAAGAGGAGGTGATGTCTAAGGTGAGACTTGGCAGATAAGCGAGGAGTAGCCAGGAGGAGAGTGGGCTGAAGAGCAGCAGGCGGGACAGGGCAGTCTGGAAGTGAGGGTGGATGTGACCCGGATTCCTGGGGAAGGGGGTTGCTGAGCTGGAGAGGAAGGTGGGGGCCAGTTTACCAAGGCCTGGCCAGCAGCCCAGAGGAGAACGGACTTTCTCCTGGAGGAGTGGGGAGCCGAGTGGGGGGAGTGTTAAGCAGGGAAGAGGCGGCTTCCTATTTGTATGTGGGGAGTGGATCCCATAGAGTCAAGATGAATTGGGGCCTCTGTAGACAGGCCCGGGGGGAAACTGGACTTCAGAGGTGGAGAAAAGTGAGCAAATGAGAATATACGGTGCCCAGCCGTCCAGCAGGACGAAGGGTGGGTGGCTCAGTGGAAGCTGTAGCTGTAGCCTCTTTTTTTTTTTTTTTTTTTTGAGACGGAGTTTCACTCATGTTACCCAGGCTGGAGTGCAATGGCGCGATCTCGGCTCACCGCAACCTCCGCCTCCTGGGTTCAGGCAATTCTCCTGCCTCAGCCTCCTGAGTAGCTGGGATTACAGGCACGCACCACCATGCCCAGCTAATTTTTTGTATTTTTAGTAGAGACGGGGTTTCACCATGTTGACCAGGATGGTCTCGATCTCTTGACCTCGTGATCCACCCGCCTCGGCCTCCCAAAGTGCTGGGATTACAGGCTTGAGCCACCGCGCCCGGCAGCTGTAGCCTCTTTAAGCGTGGAGTGGCCTCTCATTCTACACTTAAAACATTGCCCACAGGGACCAGGAAGGCTTGGGCCACAGGGGAGCTTGAGAAGAGGTCGTGGGTCTGGGAGGAGAGGCCTCACAATAGTTGCTATCTGATAGGATTGGGGAGGGCCACCGCGCCTCTCAGCTTCAACGCCTTTTGCATGTTCCTTGGGTGGTGTAATGAGCGACTAACCCAGGCGTGGAGACCCCGTCTGCCGGCCTGTCGTCCTTGCCGCCGCAGCAGCGACCAACGACCGGCTGTGGCCCTCGCCAGCGACCAAAGTGGATTTACCAGAGCCCGGAGCGGCGGCCCGGGCTGAAGCCTCGCCCCAGCGTCACCCCCTCGCCGGCCAGACGCGGCCCCTCCCTGCAGACGCAGCCCGGCGGAGCCATTACACCACCTAGGACATGCAAATGGTTCCCGGCGCAACCGCGGGAGCTGGGCCAGAGGCAGACGCGCCTCCCTCCCCTCTCTTGTCTTCCCCGCCTTAGCTGACGACCGCCAGCTCATGCTGCTACCCCCGCGAGGGCTGGAGATACTCCAGCGAGCACAACGCCATCCTCGGGCCCTTCGGCGAGCTCATGACCGAGGCCGACATCCTCCGCATCGAGCAGCAAATCGAGAACCTGCAGGTGCTGCACAAGGCGAAGAAGCTGGAGGGCCGCCTGGAGCAGCTGGAGCTGGAGCTGGAGCAGCTGCTGCCCGTCTCAGCCGCCCTGTCGGCGCCGCGCTTCACCGTCGACCCGCGCCGCATGCACGGCCGCGCCGCCAGCCTGCCCGCTTGGTGCAGCAAGATTTCCACGCTGCTCAAGAGCATGGCCACGCTGCTGGCCACGCTGGGCGGCCGGCCCGCGCACCTGGCGGAGCTGCTGACAGCCGACACGGGCCAGCCCCTGGCGCCGCTGCCCGACGCGCCCTGGCGGCCCGGGCCGCAGTGTCTGGGCCGCTCGCATTCGCTCAGCTGGTGCCGCGAGGCCGTGGCGCGCGAGATCCTCGAGTGCGGCGTTTCGGTAAAGCATCTCCGCGCCACCTACGAGCTGCGCACGCGGGACGCGGCGCCCGCGCGCTGTCCGCGCAGCAAGCCCCCGCAGTCCGCCGGCGGCCCCGGCCGTGAGCCCATCCTGGAGGAGGACTACGTGGCAGCCGGCTCCAACCAGCCCAGCGCGGTCGCCGCCGCCGCCGCCGCCCACGGCCCGCTGGCCCACTGGGAGCCCCTGGGCACCCTGGGCCCTCCCGAGGCGCAGGATCGCCAGGCGGCGCTGCCTGAGCCCGAGGAGCTGGCGCGACGGCCGCCCCTCTGCACCGAGCTGCGCGACGTCGAGGACTACCTCGACTTGCGCAAGGAGCGCATCGTCTACCTCTTCCTGGAGCACTGGCGCCGCTGGGCCTTCCGAGGCCCGGGCCGCCGCGCCCAGGCGCGCCTACGCAGACTGCTGCCCCGCGTGGTGGCCGCCGGTGCCGGCCCGGGGCTGGAGGCCGCGGATGCCACAGATGACCCCCGGCCGCCGGCGAGCAACAGTGTGGCCCACGGCCCCGATGAACGGCTGCGGCAGCTGCTGAGGCAGCGGCAGGCGGTGGGCAAGCTGCTGGGCCACTGGCGGAGCCTGCTGCGGCGCGTGCCGGCAAGCCCGGGCCTGGCGCACGGCCTTTACTGGCCCCAGCACTTCCTGCCGCCCCTGGACGGCGGCGCACCCCCGAGCTACGACAGCCTCACGCTCGACCTCTTCATGCTCGGCTACTTCCAGCTGCTGGAGATGGGCCTGAGCCGCGAGGAGCGCAAGTTCCGCCACCTGCTGTGCTACGAGATGTTCGACCGGCTGGGCAGCCACCCGTGGGAGCGCATCCGCCTCTTCCACCGTACGGTGCTGGAGGAAGTGGAGGCCGGCCGGCGCAGCTGGAGCGATGGCTTCGAGGACCTCAGGCACCGGTTCTTCGGAGACGGCCTGGAGGCTGAGCCAGCCCCCGAAGAACAGGCAAAGAAAAAGGAAGAGGAGAAGGAGAAAGAACAGGAGCGGATGGAAGAAGCCGCCCCAGTTCAGACTGGGGACCCGCCCGAGGGGCAGCCCGAGGCCCCGGCCGCTGCCCCGCAGCCGCCGCCCCCGCCCGCTGCGCCTCCCCCGACCTCAGACTCTCCTGGATCCGAAGGCCCCGCCGAAGACCCGTTGGAACTGGTGTCTGAGATGGGCGAGTTCAGCAACGAGGACATCTGCCGCTACATCGACCGCAGCTTCTCCTTCTGGAAGGAGAAGGAGGCAGAGCTATTTGACATCTGAGCAGCGGAATTTGGAATTCGCAGTTCACCCTCGAGCATCTTAACATGTGCCTGGACGTCTGTCTGACGCCCTCTGCAGGCCGGCAGCAGCGGGAAGAACCCAGGATGGTGACCTTGAACCGCCCAGAGGGCCCAGGACCAGGCCGCCTCAGCCTCTGAGGTCCCATCGTGGCAGGATGTGGGGCTTGGCCGGATAGGCAGGTCATGCACGAAACAAACCAGGTGTCCCCCTCTGGGACCCAGGCCTTGCTGTGCTCTGTGTGGAGCCAGGCAGCAAAAGAAGCCCCTCTGAGGGCTGCGGGTCCCCCTTGCGGCAATGTGGTCTGCTCTCTGGTTTTCCACTGCAGTTCACAGCTACCTCCTTGGCTGAGGTCAAGGGAGCCACGTGTGCAGTGTTGTCTGTGAAGTGTGCAGTGTACAGGCCCTCTGTTCTCCTGTAACATTCAGGAAATAAAACTCTTTGCTGTAAACTGCCTACATTGGACAGCACACCTGCCCCGATGTCATTGCAGCCCCGTGATTGTAGAGCAGGTGTTCACTCCGTTGGGAAGAGGGCAAGCATGAGCAAGGTCCTTTGCAGGGGAGCCACGGGCAGCCTGAGTCTCCCTGAGCCAAGAGGGTGGTGGGGGCCCGCATCTGCATCTGTCCAGAGGTCCTGGGCCTGGGGCCATCTGTCCACCTGCCCCTGTGCGGGATCAGGCTCCGGACCTCTGGGTTCATGCTACTTATTCTATTTCCGTCCCACTCGGCTCTGATCTCTCTGGCGCCTCCTGTTGGACACAAGGGTCTGGGTTACTAGGGGAGAGGAGGCTGGCTCCTAGGGGGCTGTAACCAGGCACCTCCATCCACTTGTCCCACAGAAGTGCATCAAAAGGGTCTCTTCCTGTGACCCTGACTCCTTCAGGTCCCCTGGTTGAGGGTGCCCCCTATCTCAAAGCCCCTGCGGGCCCTGAAGCTTTGTGGTTGTGTTTCAGGAGGAGGAGGAGGAGGCCCGGCTGGCCAGCATGCCTGCCTGGAGGCGGGACCTCCTGCGGAAGAAGCTGGAAGAGGAGAGGTGAGCTGGGGGTCAAGCAGAGGCTGGCCTGGCAGGGGGTCTTGACTGCATCCCTGAGGTGGAGGTACCAAGTGACACTGTCTCTTTTTCCTTCCAGGGAGCAGAAGCGGTGAGTGCAGGGCTGGCCCCAACCTGCCACCCTTAGCCCCACCCACGTCGCAGAGGGTCATTCCTTCATCCAGGCTGACTTGAGCGCATCCTCCTGTCCCTTAGCCCTTGTAGCACACCCTCTTTCCTCCTGGCAATGCCCCGACCCCTGTGCTCAGAATCTCTCTCTCGTGCTCTGATAACTTTGCTCCTGGCTACTCAGTCCCTGCTTCCTACTAACCTGGCTTTTTCTACCCATCAGTTAACCTCACCCTAGTATCAGTCGCCTTGATTGTCTGCCCCTCAGAACGTAGTTTCTGCCTCTGGTAATCTCACCCAGCCCAGTGCTGTCTGATAGAAATATAATGTGAGTCACATATGTAATTTAAAAATTTCTAGTAGCCACAGTAGAAGAATGTAGGTGAGCTTAGTTTTCACAGTTTTATTTAACACAAAATATCAGAACTATTATTTCAACATATAATAATATGAAAATTATTAATGAGATGTTTTATACTCCTCTTGTAAGTCTTTGGCCAGGCATGGTGGCCTACACCTGTAATCTCAGCACTTTGAGAGGCTGAGGCTAGAGGACCGCTTGAGCCCAGAAGTTTGAGACCAGCCTGGGCAATGCAGTGAGACCTCATTCTGCAAACAATTGTTTTTTTTTTGGAGACAGAGTTTTACTCTTGTCAGCCAGGCTAGAGAGCAGTGGGGATCTCGGCTCACTGAAACCTCCACCTCCCGGGTTCAAGCGATTCTCCTGTCCCAGCCTCCCAAGTAGCTGGGATTACAGGCACCCACCACCATGCCCAGCTAATTTTTGTATTTTTAGTAAAGGTGGGGTTTCACCATATTGGTCAGGCTGGTCTTGAACTCCTGACCTCAGATGATCCACCCTCCTTGGCCTTCCAGTGTGCTGGGATTACAGGCATGAGCCTCAGCACCTGGCCTGCAAAAAA